GACAAGGTGCGTTTCTATCAGTCTTCCTACCATTATGACCAAGTTGGGAAAACAAGGTCAAACAACTTCTTTACCTCAATAAAATGAGTAGGCCCCGCCTTTCAATTCGATTGCAACTTTGCTTCATCGATAATTCCACCATAGAAATGTGATATTGGAAAGGCCTAAGCCTCCCTGGAATTCATATCTGCCTTTTGACCCAAAGGCACTAGTGGCATTATGGCGTGGTAGCTAACGTGTAGAGACTATATGTTGCACTAGCATTACTCGGGTTCGAGACCAATGCAGTTTATCCTTAATGAGAATAGTTTTTATGAATAAAAGCTGTTAGATTCAATGAAAACATGAGTCCTACTCATATGATTGTGATAAAATTCAACTAATAGTCCTTTAGCACCTTAAACGCAATAGGGTGAATACAACCCTTATATTAGATCTACTGGTAGTCAAGAGGTCCTGATTAACAAACAAAAATAAGTAATACAGTCTATTGCAACTTTGCTTAATTGACAATCCCACCATAGAAATGTGGGAGCCTAGGCTCCCTTGAAATTGACAGCTGCCTATAACCCAAGGGCACTTGTGATAATATTGTGGAGTGGTTAACGTGTCAAGATTATAGGCTACATTACCAAGGCTCGGTTGAGGCGAAGTCAAATGTACAGTTCAGTTCATCCTTGATGAGAATAACTTTTGGGAAGCAAGGTTATGTGAAATTCATTCATTCATTTGATTGTGTTAAAATTCAACTAATAGTCTTTCGTCATTTTGAACGAAAAAGAGTAGATACAGCTCATACACTCAAGTCTATTTTTGAAGGCAGCCTTGTCATTGGGACATGCGATACAGCAGAAACTGGAATAATCATAAGATTGGAGAATGGGACCATTGCAATAGAGGTAGATAGGTTTAAACAAATAATGATAGGAAGACTTAGAGGAACGCATTAAGTCCGCAGTCTATTGTATGCATGATCATTTCCAAAGTCGGACCGTGGATGTGGTACATTCCCAGACGTTTCGCCGGCATAGTAGTCGGCATCGTCAGTGAGTCTTGTTATTCTTAGCACCACACACCAACTCGGCAAAGAGACAAGTGAAGCCGATCCTTTGACCAAACGTGTGCTTAACAGTTGTGGTATCTCCCATTCTGCTCTGGGCTATTCACACTTCCTATATCCTCCTATCACACCTCCACTGCTACAATTTGTTTTTAGTGTGCATATTTAGATGTAGTGTGGTGTGCTCCTTTAAGCGGCATTCCTAAAAACCCTTAACACTTCACGCTGTCGTTCTCACCCTCTTCACCCTTGTGCTGGGAATGTTGATCAGAGTCTGTCATATTGTTATGCAGTCCTCCTTCCATAGGTCTAATCACAGTCTCTCTCTTGCCCCGTAGGATCCGTCTGTTATATTCCTGGTTCACGTATTTTACTCGATCCCTGCCAACCCATCTGTGCTAATCGAGGCGTTATTACCCCTCCCCTGCGTCTGGATGATTAATTCGAGGCTAAAATCTTTGAGTAAGTCTCATGGTCAAGCCTTTGCTACGTGGAACACGTCTCTGGTAAAACATACTGTCAGCCAACTAGCTCCAGTCTCCGCTGCGTCTATCCCGTTTCTATCCGTAATGCCCTAGTCTCTTGTATACTAACCCACAAATGTTGTGGTACTGATTGCTTTGATCAGGTTCAATGTTGAACCACAGCACGGTAAAACCTGGAACAGTGAAGGTGTGATACAAGGATATAGGAAATATGAATAGCCCAGGGCCGAAGGGGAGATATCACAACTGTTTAGCATACGTTTGGTCAAAAGATCGGCTTAACTTGTCTCTTTGAGGAGTTGTCGCGTGGTGCTAAGAATGGCGAGACTCACTGACGATGCCGGCAAAATGTATATGAATGCCCCACGTCCATGGTCCGACTTTGGAAATGATCATGCCTACAATGGACTACGGACTAGGTGCATTCCTCTAAGTCTTCTTACAAATATGACCAAGTTGCGCAAATAAGGTCAAACAACTTATATACAACGAAAGGAGATTGCGACCACACAAAAGTGCACACAATATTGGTCTTCATACCTTTGATTAAACAAATATTACTTGTGAGCAATTATTCCACAGGAGTGTTAGTATATTGGATCCGATTAACAAGGCATGATGGGAGATATTTGAAAAAAAGGCAGAAACAGATCCTCTCACATATCCCGACTTTACCTACTAGTCTTCTCTATAAAAAGATCGATGAATGACAAAGAAGTGAAATATAAAAAATATCATGATGGAAACCATTTTGAGGGAAATGTGACTCATACCCCAAATTTCTGTTTGATAAACATGTCGCTGCATTCTACAAGGGGTGGTTGAATACACAAGTGCCCATAGTGTCTCTATTAAAAAATTGAGACTATTGGAGCACACAGCAGGACTGAAAGATGAGAGTAAATTGTTTCAGACTGGTCGTTTTGCTGTTTATGATACTTCTGCAGGTAAGTGCAATTCTATAACCAGTCCTTCATCACCTTAAACGAAATAGAGTGAATACATCTCATACAAAAGGTTACATTTCCTACGTGTTCTGGTTCAGAGACAAAAAAGCTCGACAACTTTAACGGAAATGTGTTAGGGTTACTAGGACTTTTTGACCATGAACGGTGTTTATGCCTTGTTGTAATTAATTAAAGCTGATTTTGCACTTTAAGGTACATTTAAATGCACACACCCAGACACTAGCTGAAAGTTTTTATATAGCACGAAGCAACCTCATAAAATGCATAGGTTTAGAGTATATACACAGCAAGTATAGAAAATCCGGTAGGGATTCTCGACTTGTTAGACTGAATTATTTGTTCGAACGAAAACCCGCTTTGTTGATTTCCATCGTGTGGC